ATCTTCCTCAGCAATCGAGCCCGTGAATGCCCAGCGGCAACACTAAATGACTTACGCAACTCTTGTTTCGACAGGCCCGTATAATCTAGTCACCTTTACTCGTGCATATTGTTGGTAAGGGTATCAGCATGCAAGGTTGTACTTTCACCCTCTGGTGACCCATTTTGTCTCCATTCCTGGCTGGCGCGTGATCCCTCCGTCAGAAATAGGGGAAGGGTGGGGAAAAGGGATAAAAACGTTCTATCTAAACATTGTCTTTGCAACAAGTTCTGCAGAATTCTCTGTCTATTACAAGATGATGGATTATTTCCAATGCATGATGAAGCATTTCCATAGCAACTAGGATTCTCTAGCTTGCATAACCTTTTTATTAATGCAAAGTACATTCCATTTCACAAAAGACAGTCAGCAATGAAAACGTGAAGAGTGCAATAGAATAGTTAATAATGTATATATATATATACATTACACAAGAGACACATAAAAAATATATAAAAACATCAAAATTTAAATATATCAGAAAACTGATGTACAAAACATACAAAGCGAGAGTCCAAATAGCAGCATTTTTGTTGCGGCTTTAATTAGATGCAATGGTCCTGTCTTTTGTGAAACAAACTTTGTTCGAAAACATTAACTAATGAAACCTCTGATCACAATAAGTTAAACTCTAGGTTCAGAATAGCTGACTGATTTCACTACCAACTGTAAAAGTTCAGAATATTTGTAAAATAGTCCTGTTGTTGTTTACAGTAATTGACTGATTTTATTCTTATCCGTTGTTTAAATGTAAACAATTACGAGCAACGAAATGAAGATAGTTAATCAAGCATACACATACATACATACATACACCACGATAAGTTTGAATTCGCTTTCCAAAGAAGTTAATAAGTTTTTTTTTCCCTTACATTTACATGGGTATAATAGGAAATGCTGATTTGTTACCGTTAGAACTTACATGCAAAATGTCAAACCATGTACAAAAACTCAAGATACAGCCATGTTGAAAGAGTACACACGACGTATATAACATTACCGGTAACAGTAAACATGATTTATATTTGATAGATGTTGTTATTAACCAAAGAAACATAAATACTTAGATTAAATCTTATAAGTTTGTTATTACACATTATCATGATGAATGAAAAATTATACAGATTTACTTTATTTTCTTTGTTCATTAACCGTAGTCCAAAAAACTGTCTAAAGAAAAAAAACTAATTTTGTATTTTTCAGATGCGAAAATCAAATAAAACCTTATAGGGTTTAATTAATTTCTAGAAACTTAGAATGAGTACACGAATTTTATTACGTCATGAACGGCTTCAAGAAGATGAAAATACTTAAAGATCCAGTCGAACCAGACGCTTACGTTCTACGATGAAAATATTTCACACTTGAAATGATACGAAATGTTATACAACACAGTATCAAACGAGAACTTTGAAACAACACTTCTTTATTTGGGCAATATTCATTTAAAAGCTCTGAGTCTACTGTTAGTGAAACTATTATGTTTATAAAACTACAAGTGAAATGTTATAACGTAATACCTGATGGCATGAAGACAGAGTTAGAATGAGAAAGAAATTAAATTTTTGATAAAGTTCTAGTCATATCATTTGTCAGTATTGGTGCAATAAAAGTAGTCACTTGCTAATGACGTCATTTACTAGTGTTGAGGACACAACTCTGCAGCACTGCCTAGGGTATTTACATTTTACATACGAACAGTTTTTCATTTGCTTTGTAATTGACAGATGAACTCAATACGTAAGTTAAGTAGAAAGAAGTTATAGAATTTTTTACGGTGGAATAAATAATGGAAACATTTACTAGCTTCTAACATTACCTTAATCACTTCGTTTAAATGAACAAACTAGCAAAATCAACCTCATTACAGAGTGACAGGAGTGTATATAAATAAGCAGCAATATGCTACTGAATACGCTCCGTACAATCAATTGTGACGACAATATAACTGTGAAAGTTTACCCTGTTATTCGGTTAAGAATAGCGGCAATATAACTGTGAAAGTTTACCCTGTTATTCGGTTAAGAATAGCGGCAATATAACTGTGAAAGTTTACTCTGTTATTCAGTAAAGAATAGCGGCAATATAACTGTGAAAGTCTACCCTGTTATTCGGTTAAGAATAGCGGCAATATAACTGTGAAAGTTTACCCTGTTATTCGGTTAAGAATAGCGGCAATATAACTGTGAAAGTTTACTCTGTTATTCAGTAAGAATAGCGGCAATATAACTGTGAAAGTTTGCTCTGTTATTCAGTAAAGAATAGCGGCAATATAACTGTGAAAGTTCACTCTGTTATTCAGTAAAGAATAGCGGCAATATAACTGTGAAAGTCTACCCTGTTATTCGGTTAAGGATAGCGGAATATTAGACAGAGAGGTGTTGCTGACTGGCTGCTCAAGCTCTGCAGTTCTAAGTTAAAGATGGGCATGTTTGAACACTAGGGATCTCTGTCATCGCCGTTTAGCCTCTGTACCACGTAAGGTGCCTTTCAGCTTGAAAATACCACTACAACATTTAGCCGCATTGTGAGATCATGCAGAAAGGTAAAAAAAACAGGACATGGAGAAAATATTTCGAAGGGAATTCAATTATTTGGGATAGTAAGGCATATTTTAAAAAAGGACATTTAGATTTGCAATATTGCATGAACTATCTGCAGCAATGACTCTTAAATAAAGGTAAAAAATAAATGGTCGGATGTGTCAACATTCGATATTATTCCATAAAACCACATTTATGGAGGAAGGTGACGTGTTTAGAATTAAATTACCTAAAAGATTCCAATATGTAGTAGGCCTCATTTTATTCATATGGGCTTTGTCTTATAATCGCTTTGAAACACATGGTAATATTAATAGGAAACAACAGCACGTGTGCACAGCAAATTATTTACGTCAGTAAAATATGACCCAAATACTCAAATAAATCGTATTCCTCGAAGCTTACGACAGAAAATTACGAAAATAAACAAAATTTAAGATATTACCAAGAACAATAAAACTTTAAGAATATGTGAATTTTGTCAATAATTCGGTTAGTGTTAATCTCATTATACATGAAATATACGCAGATAATACTCGATTCAAAATCTAAAAGAACTATTTTTTTGTGTGGAAACAATCGAGTAATTTCAAAAACAGTAAAATTAGTTGGGGAAAAATTACTCACAATTATACGTGAATAACGCAACACATAACCTCACCATGTTTTTTTTTTAAGACATGAAAGTCATTGTTTTAATTTTTTGGATCCAAAGAAAATAAAATGATATTTTTTCCTTTTTTACTGAAATAAGTGTAATAAACGTGCCATTCGGTATCACAGGGAATAAAACTTGATATTTATCCAACTTGTATTGTTTGATTATGTCCAAAACTTCTAAATATTATAAACAAGATAAATATTACATATAAAGTTCTTTAAAATAATACCATACAATATATAAAACAAGTTTCATTCATGAGAAAATAAAAGGTTCCTTTCGATATGCAAAGTTATTTGAAACCGATGATTTATCGCTATTTACGTCCATTTTTTTCTAACTTATAAATGACAGGGTGTAAAATATTTTATTAATAAATTAATAGAAAGAAAATCATGTGTACAAAATGGAGTACAATAATATGTTTTTTAGCTTTTAGTTCCAGAACCGCAAAACATGCAGTTTACTCCAAATTTGTTCAACAGTTGAAAATTCAGAATCTCTGAAGAACTATATCAGTCAATTATGTAAACCAATCAATTACTAATGATGTGAAAACACACGATCAAGGGATCAGTGAATTGATGACACATGTTAATACCGACTTTCCTTATAGCATCTTATGAGATCCTAATACAAATTTTAATGATACTATTAAATTTCACAAAATATATTTTTACTGGTTTGTAGATCAGAAGACTATATATGTGGTCTAGTAAAAAAGCGTAAATCTAGTAAAAAAGGTAAGGTTTCAATAGAAGAAATAAATTTTTCACAATAAACATTAATATTATATGTTTTTTCAGTACCAGACTGAAAATATACATTTGACTTGAATGAATAAAACAAAAACATTTTATAACCCAAAAGAGCACTAGTATCGGTAGTATGAAATGTTTTATGCGTTGTATTCACTAACATGACAAACAGATACATTTTATAATATTACTACCACAGAGATATCATCGCAACAATTACCATAAACAGAAAAGGTCTACATCTCATAATAATCAAGAAAACATAGCAAAATATAAATTTTAGCACTTTTTTACAAATACACCAGCTTATATCAAGCAGTACTCTAGAATATGCACTGATAAATAATATCTATCATAAACAAAGAACCCTACCTTTCTAGAAGATAGTAATATATATAATGACACACAACCTACATACTAAAAAGCCTTAACAACTTTGTAGAAACCCCTGTATGGCACAAACGAGATCACGTACAGCAACTAAAACTCGCTGGACTCTATTGTATAATAATTTTACAGTAATGTCAATAATGTACATAAACCAGTGTCGGTTAGTATGCTTTTGGCCAATTTGTTTGAACAATGTTTATCATGCAAAGGAGTTCGTTTAAGCCCATCAGGAATACGACACTGCTCAGTAATTAATACTCTATTTTTAATAACTTGCATTAAGCAACTTTGTCTCTTTTCAAAATTCTTTACGATTTTTATTCACACGTAAAAGAAAATTAAAAATGGCGTGTTTCTAACAGTCCTTTTGATAATATATTATTTTGTGGGAAAGTTTTTCGGGAAGATTTGATCAATATTTCATGACACGAAGAGAGCGACCAAAAAGGAAAACTAAAATATCAAATGATTGAGAGTATAGAGAAATAACACTTTGTGGTGAGAGAGAAATGAGATTTTGTGATCAACTGATCAAGCATTCACATAAACGTTGTAACTATACCTTTTTTCTCTCGCGAAGCGTTAATAAAAAATGATTTACCAGTTCCGAACAACTCTGAAGGATATGGCTTGCTTGGTCAAGATTTTCATAAAACACACACGAATCTTCTTCTGACGACAGATAGACATTTAATCAGGCAGGAACTATTTGTGAAGGTCAAAAATATCATTGAAACTTACACACGTGTATAAATAGTTCCTATACTAGTTATCATGATAAATGAACAAAACAAGGTCCTAAGTTAGGACCTTTCTGATAGCACCATTGAAATCATCTACAGTACTGATTGATAAAAACTCAGAGTTTTATATCATCAAGGTATAACCAAATCATGAGACCTAATCCGAATTTCAAAGTTTTCGATCCGGTTTTAATTCAAACTTCAAAGGGGGTAATATTTTCGGACGAAAAGATACTCGCTAAACTGTTGCCCTTCTACCCCACCTCCGTTGGATGCCATGATCTTAAAGCCGTTATTCAAAAGACGTGAAACTGTTTGCAGTGAATTTAGTTTACAGTAGCCATTTAACGGAAATCTGATGACGTGTTTAGAATCTGCGTTCCAGGCTACTCCACTACGAGCGTCCATTAGCGCCTGACTAATCTCAGGAAAAACTTCTTCCACTACAGACCTTTCCCCACTGATTGTTATTCGTTCTCCAAGATCAGGACTAATTTTAAGGGCCATGCACTGAAAACCCGTGTCAGTACTTTTATCATCATTATTAGGCGTTCGACGATCATCATAGTGGTTATCGTTGGAATTGGAATGACAGTTGTTACTCTGCTTTTTACGATGACGATCTTTCTTGAGGTTCTCTAACATTTTTACCAGTGGAGGTATGTCGTAGAATCTGGCTTCTTCCAGTAAGAGATCTTGCTCCTTGAAGTCTTCTGAAATCGGAAGTGTGTTGGTTCGAAGAAAGTTCAAAACATGACGGAACATCTTTCCATCTCGGTCTATAAAGTAATGTTGTTTTAACGTGTCTAAGACGATAGGAATACTTCCGTTAAACATTCGTGCAAGGCGAGAATCTGGATGTCTGAAAGTATTGTCAATAAGAAGATGAGTACTTAAATAATTAAATGTAAAACAATCATAGTAGTTGCCATTAATTATATAACACTGAACGATGAATAGTAAGAAACGTTCGTGTTCAGTAACAAATAATTCGAAATGTAGTGTGCGACAAATATAAATAAAAACAAATACAGAAATGTTGCTGCCTAATTATTTTTATTTTGTTTTAGAAAACAATTAAATTCGTGAAAATAGAATAGACTGTTAAACTATTTTGATAAAATAAAATAACTTTCTTTATAAATTGGAAATAAAGTAACATAAATCTGGAAAAAGTGAAGGTAACTAACTATATCTGCTAGCTGATGTAAATCCAAAGTAAGGCCAGGACAATTTAAAATGTTGCAATGCTAATAACATCGTAAGGAAAAAAGCAACACGTGTTTCTGTAGCAGCCCAGCCAGTGGCACAGCGGCATGTCTGCAGACATATACTGCTAGAAACCGGGTTTCGATACCCATGGTGGGCAGAGCACATATAGCCCTTTAGGTAGCTTTGTGCTTAATAATAAACAACAACAATTTCTTGAAGCAAGAGTAATCTCAAAATATCCCTTTTCGCTGAGGCATTACAAGAGTAGTTAAAATTTAAAGTGTAGGTGAGATGTAAGCATTTAAAGCAATAAAATTCATGCCATCAGTTGCATACTCCATTAAAATAACAGCGATTACCTGAACGCTGTCCTTATGTGTATGTTTCTCTGTACAACAATATCACATATAATGCAGCAAAACTGTGTTATATCGACGTTAAACTGCATTATTCTACAGTTTTAACACGGGTAACATATAGTTTGCTTTGTTCAAATGATACCCTTCCCACATAAAATAGTTTTAATATTTGTCTCAATTATGGATTAATGAGTTCATGCTTCTGATTGGATGATAATTTAGAATAGACATTAAATTTATTATTATGTCAATTGGTATACAAACGTATAAGAAAAAATAAATGCACCATTTAATGGTATTTCTGTAGTTTCTGAAGTCTTGTAATAAACACATTGTTGTTTTTGTGTTGTTATATTAAATTCAACATTGTTCTAATGGATGTAGATCATTTGTCACATAATTGTTTGTTTGCAATTAAGCACAAAGCTACACGATGGGCTATCTGTGCTCTGCCCACCTCGGTTATCGAAACCCGGTTTCTAGCGTTGTAAGTCCGCAGACATACCGCTGTGCCACTGGGGGGCTTGTCACATAATATTAATTCAACTTCTTATTAACTCATTTACCAATTTTACAGTGCAATGTGATTCTATTTTCGGTTATTATATTTGTAATTTCTAGATGATTAACGCACCTTAATATTAACTTTGATCAGAACAAGCCATGTACTTAATGTAAACCTAAGAATTAACCAACAAAACAACTAGTTGACTACTACTAAAAATAACGTTGTGCAGATACAGCAGTATAGGAGGAAAATTAAAAGTGGGGGCGCACCCGTTACGGCCGAGTCAAGGTCTCGCATTAAGGCCCTGTAGGGTCATGGGTTCTGGATTAAACTTTATGAATTCTCCTACTTTTCCTGGCAGTAATTTTTATAATTTGGGTGCAATTTTGGTGGGACAGATTGAAAAGTGGGAGCGGGCGAGCTCCCCCCCCCTCTTCGTACGTCACTGAGATACATATAAATACTTATACAAATTTGAATGTAAAGTAGATGAAAATAATATTTATACAAATAAAACACATCTAGAATTGTGAAACGATGCAAAAAATTTAGAAGTAAAAGGATGGAACTGGCCATAGGTGGTTGGTATTCACCATTTTTGTAATATAACACAGTTTGCAATTGTGTAGGAGTGGCAGCACGAAATATAGAATAGAAGCTTCAGATGTATAACTTTCTACATCTCCAAAATGTCTGGACCAATTTTTGTGTAACTACCATAGCTTTGGGGTGTTTCTGATGAGAAGTCTCCGTCGGAGTATTCATAGACATTGTGCTGGTCACATAAACTATCTCGATAATCCCCTCCTGGTAGCCACCTGAAAAGTGGAGCTAATACTCTTCAGATGATAAAGAGGTCTGAACGTCCTACCGTACTATTTAGCCCTAGTTAGCTATGGAAATGTCAAATAAACTAGTAAAGATATTCACGGCAAGATGCGAGACCTTTGGTCAGTCTGTCCTGAAATACGCTACCAGGGTGAGTTCTGATGTTCCTGTAAGTAATGAATTATATTATGATGGACTACGGACAAAGCCCACACCTGGGTTACCTCTCAGTTTTGGTGTCGGGATTCATAAAAACAACAGTGAGAAACTTTATACCAACATGAAGGTGAGGATAAAGATAAGAACGTGGAAAGTGGGGAATCTATATAATTTGAACAGCGTACGCTAAGAGATTAAACGACTGGAGTATTGTATCCTAGGGCTATGTGAGATTAGATAGATTGACTCAGATTCTCTTATGACTGAAGGTTGTACATTTATGAATTAAGAAGGAGGTGAGCATCAGGTCTGTTAGTGAAAGAGGAAATAAGAAATTGTGTGAAAGGCTTCCGGCCTATCTCAGACAGAGTTGTGTTAATAAATCAAGTCCTTTGATTTAGCCATCATTGAAGTTTATGAATCTACATCTGATGATGAAGAAGAAGAAATCAAAACTTTTTATCGACATGTTGAAGAACCTATGCAGGCAATGAAGAAACTGAACAATATAGGTTTAATTCAAAACAGTTAGCAAAAAAAAAAAAAACTTAACTAAGAACTTTGTAACAGAAATTTAAAACGATTTGAATTATTAACAAAAGAAGAACTTCCATAAAAGAATGCTGAGAACCAATAGGTTAAGTCAAAAGAGGTGGTGTTACTGGAAGCAAAAGAGAAGAATGTGGAGAGAGTGAAGAAAGAGTAAAAACAAAAGAAGACAACTATCAAGAGGAGGACAGAAATATAAGGAATTAGGTAAGAAAATCAGTTATTTTTGTAGGCAATCAATCGATGAGTATCTCAGCAATTAATGTGCAGAAACTGAGAAATGCGAGGCAACATATAACATGCGTGAAATGCACAGAATAAAGAAGAAGTTGAATAAGAAACCTACCCTGCTTCTAGTGGAGTCATCAAAAGTAAGGACGACAAAATACTTTGAAATTGAGGATGTTAAAAAGAGGTGGAAAAATAAGCGAGAGAGTTGTATAACGATAGTAAGGAATCGGAAACAGCCTGGAAGCGGTAGAACCAAATCGATTAACAACGGCATAGCAATTCTGAAAGGAAGGTATGGGAAACCATTAGAAATTTAAACAATGGAAAAGCTTGCGGCAAAGACGATATGCCAGCAGAAGTCTTAAACAAAATGGACATCTTATGGATTAAATATCTAGCTACAAGTTGTAACACAATTTATAGAAGAGATACAATTTCAAAACTTTAAAAGGTCCGTTTTGTGTCCATCCCAAAGAAACCCGAGGCTATAGTGTGTAGCCTGATATAGGACTATCAGCTTGATCAGTGACACCTCAAAAGTATTTCTCAGTAGAATTAAAAATCAGGTTACGAATGAGCTGTCGGAAACCTAAACTGCTTCAAAAGAGGTTAGAGCACGCGTAAGGCCTTAGGATATTAGTTGAAGAGCCATTGAAGTGCAAAGAGCGTTTTATGTATGTATCATATACTTTGTAAAAGCCTTTGACAGGGTTAACCACGAGAAGTTTATGGAGATCCTGCAACAGATTATGGTAGTTCAAGCAGATATCAGAATAGTAAAGAATTTATAAATAATATACGATGTCACCAACATTGTATAATTTCTATGTAGAGTGGTTGGTAAAAGAGGGAATTACCTATGTTGAAGGAATCAAAGTTCACGGCATAGAGTCTGTAATAATAGGTATGATAATGATAAAAAAAACAACTTATAGGTGAATCTGAGAAAGTAACAGGACGGTGACTTGACAGGCGTGTTCGTAAATGGAAAGATTGTAGCCTCAGAATAAATGTTAACAAAACTAAGACAAGACAGTAGTAATTTCATGATCTGAAGAAGCTTCCAGAATATGCATCAAAGTAGAAGGTAAAGAGCTGGACCAAGTAGAGGAGCTTAACTATTTAGGACGAATATCGGTAATGATGACAAGTATAGAAAAGGAGAGAAATCAAAGAAAAGGCATGTTAAAAAGGGCATTTTTCCCACTCATCATCTGAAACTGGAAGCATTTGAAATGTGGTGGTGTAAATAAATGAAGATGATCAGTTACACAGAACTAAAGAAAAACACATGAGGAAGTACTGCAATGTACAAAGACAAAAGAACAGCTGTTGAACATATGTAGAAAATCGAAGATACGCCACTTTGGGCTGTAATAAGTTATGAAGGAAGGTTGGCAAATATTCTGACGAGTAAATCTAAAGGAAGAAAAACAGGAGGCATTCAGAGACTAATTTGGCTAGATGATATTAGGAAATGGATCGGATACGAGAAATTTGAATTAGGAAAGTTGGTGCAGGCAGAGATGTATAGAGCACAGTGAAGGGCTCATACTCGTCGACCCACAAAATTAGGAAGGACGTCATGACTAATAAATAACATTAGAAAAAAAATTCTGATTTAAAATAGTAATGACAACTATCAGTCATTGTGCGAGTTCAATGAAGATATATATATATATATATAAGAAAAAAGTAAATAATTACAAAAACTCTTAACATTTAACAATTTTGGCTTTCTTTTAACTCTCAAACAACACGATCTTACATCCTACCAACAAATTATTTTAGTGTTAGTTGGTATGTATACATGCTGCAAATGCAATGCTACCATTATGTCCAAAAAAACCTCATTACGTAGTTACTAAATGACAGTCAAATGGTAGCTTGTTACCCCCTCAAAAGATCCACGTGTTTCTTTTTCAGGTTTTGGAAATATCAGACATCATTTGGTGTTGGAGTTTATTTCCATATCTGTTGCTTTTCCAGTAGTTCGGTTGAGACATTTAGGAAAAA